AGGATTCTCAGAAGACGTTCTGCACTCTGCTCAGCCTCTACCTGCTGCAGTCCCAGCGTGGCCTGGGGCACTTCTCCTACTCTGGGGCACTGCATCAGTGGTGTTGATCCAAGAGACTGGTGCAGTGAGGGGATCCACTTTGTGAGGACCCTGTTCCAAGATCAGCTGAGATCAAGTAGTCCTGCCACTGTCCCTTGATCCAGGCTGTGTAAAACACCTCCCTTGGTGTGCTGCTATGTGGTACCTGTGTTTCTGGCTGCTGTGCTGGGCTGCTGGACTCCTACTTCATCTTTCAGTGCAGAAACCAGACTCCCTCTTGCAGCATCTGCAGAGTTTTCTGCAGCCCTTGTTCAGGAGCTTTGCAGCAAGTCTGTCAGTGCCATGGGCTGGCTATGCTTCAGTCAGACTGTCTGCTGCACACCCTGGCTGGCTGTGCTCAGAGAAAATCTGTCCCATAAAGGGGGTAGTACTGCAACAGCAAAAATGGTGGAGGCCCTGCCTGCAGGTGATGTTTTGTCTGAGGGTACAGGGATACTTCAGCTTTTAATGATTTTTGTTTAGGTAGATTCAGGCTTTTCCTTGGTAAACAAGACAGCATTATCACAGAACTGCTTTGTTTTCCAGTGACTGGTCTCACACATAGTAAATAGGTTAAAGTTAACTGGAGCAAGCATTGATTTTTCTTTTAGTATGTGTGGGATTTCCTCCCTTGGGAGGGCTTGAGTAGTGCAGGAGACCTTCAGGGGAGGATATGAGTGTGTGAAAAGAGTGCAGTGTAGCTGGGACATGAAGTTTTTTTTCCCCCTCTCTAAATTTTCCTTTTATGATCTCTTACCTAACTCTTCTTCCTTTCTTTCATGTTCCAGCTCCCACTCAGAAATTTCCTGGGGGAATAGTGACTGGAAGACACGCTCTGGGAATGTGCAATCCTGCAGGAGGAGAGGGACATGGAGCAATGATAGGCAGAGCTGGGCAAAACAGAAGGGTTGGGGTACTGGGGAGCAGGTCCACAATCAACAGCGGAGGCTGTCATGATGAGGTTATTGATATATGTGATAGAATTTAACATTTCATAATTATTTTTTTCCCCACATGAAAGTTACAGAATAGGAAAGGAGGAAAAAAAAAAGAAAACCCAAATAATCAATGCTGCTTTTGAAGGCTTTGGCAATTGCCAGGCTCTATTTGTTTCTTTCTTTAGATAGTGTCATTAGTCTTCTTCCATCCAATCACCCCCTCCAAACAAACATAACTCCCCCAATTGCTTTTCTCTCCTTAACTGAACTCAGCTCCCCCTCGGTTATAGACATGTTCTGCTACTTTGTATTTGTGCCACAATTTGCCTTCCGGAACATTTACTTACTTACTTAGAAATCCTCTGCATTGCCTGGTGTTAGGGCATATGGTTTTCTCTACATCAATTAAAACTCAACATGGTCCAACAGAATATAACACCAACCCCTGCTTCTTTGAATGGATGTTTGCAGCTGGGTGGGGATTAAAGCAGATCATAATGGATTAGATCAGGGATTAAAACAGCCTGTAATGGATACTGTGTTGAACTGTTCCATTTCTATTCTTGGATATAGACTGTACAAATCTAGCGTTGTCAGATGACATCCTCACTGTCACTCTGTCATGCAAGAGGCCAGGTTTTGAAGCAAATCTGTTATTCCTGCAACAGGGATGGTACAAACTGGAAAAGCCCCTTTTTCTGTGCGCTGGCGACGGGCACGCAGTTCGCGAATCGTGCAGGAGATGGGGGTGTTGCTCACATTACCTTTGTTTTCTAGAGAAGGAAAGATATTCGAGAGCACGGCTGCTGCTCTCTGGCACTGCTGAGGCAGAGCAGGGAGATTCTAGTACGCAGTCCCACATCATCAGTGGGACTCCCCCAGCTGTGCATCCTGGTATCTAACGGCAATAAGCAGGCACTGATGAAGGCATTTTAGCATTTGCTTCAGAAAGACCAGAGCTTCCTGTGAGTGTCTGTCTGAAAAATTAAGGCTTGGGATGATCTCACTGGCATAGTCGGCACTGAATGTCTGGGACTGTCCCCGAGTGTGGCAGGTGACAATGACACTCACAGAGGAGATTGCAAGGAATGGTTCTTCAGACTGCAGGGTAGAAAACGCCTGCTATTGAAATGGTGGAAGTACTGTTCTAAATAAAGGGCTAGGCTTCATGCAAGTGTTCACCACCACATTCTGTGCCATGTCCAGCACAGCTGGGCTCTTGTGGTGACAAAGAGAGATGTGGTGGACACAAATAAATGCTTTGTCCTGGCAGGATCCGTGAGATGAGATGTGCCCACTAGTCCTGTCTTGGTCTGGGTGGGCTTTGGCCATGAAGTCAAAGATGCTGCTGCACAAAGGAGTGACTGATTAGGATCTGGACAAGGACTAGGTCCTACGCAGTGTTCAGCAAGGCTGAGAAGATAAATGGGACTGGGTGGACTGCACTGTAGGGGACTGGCTAAGTTGTGACAATTGCTAGCATCACAGTAGTTTTGCTATGTGGTGCCTGGGATTCTGGATGTGTAGAGATCTTCAGAAGCAGCAGTGAGCTGCTGCTGGGTCCAGAGGGACTGCAGAAACTTTGATTATAATTTAAGAACAAGTTCTGCCTGTCACAGCTGCAGCCTCACTGCTAGAGGATGGCATTAGGTGGGCAGTGCCTCTCCTCACAGTGCACAGCAATGGCAAGACATTGGGGTGGCATGAGTGCTGCTAATGCCACATACCTGGGGACTCTGTTCCTGCAGCAGTCGAGGTTGGGGAGCAGTGGGGTCACACCCTGCTGTTTGCTTACAGGCAGAAGCAGTGTGCAGCCTCGGGGCTGGTGTGGCCCTGTGCATGCAGGGTAGCACCTGCCACGAGTGTGTGCAGTTTGTGAAATCCCCTTGCCTGAGGTTTTGTGGAGCAGCTCTGGCTCAGGCCCACGTCACTGCTCCCACACAAATAAAATGTCATCTAAACATTTTGGCAGCACAGTACAAAAGGAGCCGATTCCAAGCCAGGAATACCATCCATTGCGTTGGGAGTGGGTGATTCGCTTCCCCTACCCCCACCTCCCACGTTCCCTCTCTGCGTTGGGAATTGAGGCTAATAAGGGGCCGCGTTTGTGGATAGAGCCCCCGCAGCCTTCCTGAGGCTGTCAGCGCTGCTCTGTGCGCACCGGCTGCCGCCCCTATCCCATTCCTGCAGGACAGCTCTTTAGCGACCGCTCCCCCCGTTTGCAACAGGCAGCGCTGTGTGTAGCCCCTCTTCCCTCCTCCGGCTCTCTCCTCGCTCCCCTGCGGCAGCCGGGCTGCACGGACACCCCAGCCCGAGCCGGGCTCTCTGCAGCAGGCGCTGACCAAGCGCCGGGCAGCAGCTGGCCAGAAACCTCCCCGCTGCCCAGTGCGGTCCTGCCTCTGTCCCCCGCTCCCTGCCGGGCTGGGAGACGCGCGATAGGCGGGAGAAAGTGCTGAGCAGCCCCCGCACCGAGCCTGGGCCATGGGGAGGGGGCTGACGGCGGGGAGAGCCGTGTAGTTGGTGGACCCGTCTTTGGACGGCAAAGAACGGCTGATGCGGGAAGTAGGAGGGTGGGACGATTAAAAAATCGCTAATTATCGACACTTTTCAAAGGGAGGAGGAGAACGGGAGAAGGTCGACTGTGGGTTTGATCCGAAGAGAAAGTGCCGACGTGTTGCTGCAATGAATCGGTCCGGAGGGACGTGGCACTGGCACAGATGGCGATGACAAGGGTGACCCACAGGGACGCCCCGCAGCCGCGGGAGGCGTCAGCAGCCTCCCTCTCCCATTCACAGCCTGCCATTACTCACACCTTGTCCGGGGGCTGAAGCTGCAAAGGCTTCTTGAGCTTGGCCAGCAGAAGACAGGTGTCCTGGCCAGAGGAAAGGCATCCGTGCGATGGGAGCGGGAGCGCTGCGCTGCCGTGACCTAAAGAAATACATCCCCCTCGCTCCTTCTCCCGACACAGTCCCGAGATGCTGCTGCAGGGAGCTGCCTGCAGATACTGCCCTTTCTTCGTTATTGGCCCCACACAAATCCTGCTAGTCTCCCTTGCTGGACGGTGGCAAGGTTGCTGGGATTCCCACGCACACGCGTGAGTTCCCGCGGCCGGGAGGCTGCGCTTGGGACGGGCACATCCACACGCACGGAGCCGGCTCTGGAGGGATGCTGCTGGATGGCCGGGTCCGCGGGTGCGCTCTTACACACGGGAGGCACCCAAGAGCCGCTCATCCCAGCTGCGTTCCCTCGTGCCCCCGTACTCGTGGCTGACATCCAGCCTTTGTGCGTACACGCACACACACAGGGCGAGGAGCACCCACACCGCTGTAACACGAGTCTATGTACATATACACCAGGAGAAGCGGGGAATGACGGCTGCTTTCTCTCGGCCAGGAGCACACATACCAAATCAGGAGAAAAGGCTGGGTGATGCTCCAGCTGATTCGGTGCAGCGCGGTGTCCCGCTCCCGCCCCCGGCCCCGCTCCCGGCCCCCGGCGGCGCGGCGCGGCGCGGCGGGTGACTCGGCGGTGTATTTCAGCGGCGGCGGCGGCTTGGCAAGGCTCGGGGCTCCTCCCCCCGTGTGGTGGTACCCTCTCACTTGATCAAATCCTTGAACGTGAACAGTTTCACTGAAAAGCACTTTTGAAAAAAAAAAAAATATCCAGCAACAGTAAGGAACAGAATCCAACTACTGGGGAGAGTTTTTTTTTCCTTTTTCCTCCCCTTCTTTCCTTTTTTCCTTTTTTTTTTTTTTTTTTTTTTTTTTTTTTTTCCCTGGTCATCGTCTCAGAGGCTGAGAAAGAGTCAAGAGAAAAGCGAAGAAGAGAAAGAAGAAGAGCGAGAGAAAGAGGCGCCTTTTGCAAATAATAAATATTATAATTAGAATCCGGCCCCTTTCTTCCTAAAAAAAAAAAAGAAAAGCCCTAAACGCAGCGCCTCATCCCCCCTCCCTCTGCAAGCCCCCCGACTCGCTCCGCAAAGGCATGGAGAAGGGGACCAACTGCTTTCCGACCTGCCACACCATTTTTCTCGCCTGGACATGGTTCTTACTTCTCTCTTGGTGTTGCACCGGCGCCGAAATAACTTGCAGATCCTGCTCATCTCCATCGCCCTCCTGGCCGTCCTCCTCGTCTCGCCTTAGGCAGGAGCAGCGACAGCCGCCGCCGCCGCCGCGAGGATTACGGAGCTGGCCGGGCGGCCGAGCGCGGGGCTCGGTCGGGGCGGCGGCCGCCGCGGAGCCGGTGCCGGGCGCGGAGCCGGGGGGCCAAGCA